ATATTTTATTTCATCTAGATCTGTTTTGGAAGATTTAGCTAATGAAATAATCTACGAAATATTTGATTATCTTGATATTTTTCATGTTTATGATGGATTCATTGATCTTAACAAACGATTTAAAAAACTACTGAATAATTCAAATCTTCCACTTCAAGTCAATATTTCAACAATGACAAAAACAAATTTTCAACGTTGTTACAAAAATATTATTATACCAAATAGACATCGAATAAACTATCTTCGATTATCAAATATATTTACTACTGATATTGTTTTTTCACCACCACGTTTAATAACACAATTTCCTCAAATTGAATCATTGGTTCTTGATAATATCGTTTATCGATCCTTTAAGAACATTTCTACTTATTTAACACATTTACCTAAATTACATTCATTAATTATTAGTTTTACTGAAAAACTTGAATATGAAAATATTCCATTTGGTACAATATTTTCTTTATCTAATTTAAAATATTTCAAAATTACTTATCAAGAAACAAATGAATATGAGCCACATCCTATTTATTTTACTGATTATGGTCATAGTTCTATCGAACATCTTGTGATAAATACTCGTTTTCATGTCGAATCATTTAATAATTTATTATTTTGTTTTCCAAAACTTCGTCATTTAAAAATTGATTGTCTTCGTAGTTCTTATAATACGGCAAACAAGATGAACAAAGAAGAACCAATTGTATTAGAACATTTAAAATCTGTTTCACTCAAACTTGATTTTATTGATCTTAATGATATTGAAGATTCATTTAAAAAATTCTTTTATTTTGTTCAAGTTTTACAACTTACAACAAATAGATATAGTTTTGAATGTTTAAATGCTAAAAAATGGGAACAATTAATATCAATTTATATGCCAAATCTACGTATTTATAATGTAAATTACCTTGGATTTGGATTATCGAATCAAGGAACATTTCATGAATTAGTTGATCAATTTAATTCTTCATTTTGGATTTCAAAACAATGGTTTTTTACACATCAACATGATTGGCAAGAAAATTTTAATTATGGAATATTCTATTCAACAGATCCATATCGGTAATTATATACACTCGATTTATTATTTCTATATTTTGTTTCTCTAGAAGTAAAGATTATACATATTATTGGCAATCAGATAGACAATCCTGTCCATATATTCGAAAAACAAATTTCAAATCAGTTAAACATGTTCTTATTGATAGTAAACGAGTAACAAATAATCATGGAAATTATTTTCCAAATACAACTCGATTAACTCTTACAAATAATTTTGAAACACCTGGTAATTTGTTTCCAATGATTCTCAATCGTATTATTCCTTTAAAAAATCTCACAAAAATAGTTATTGAATCCTTCAGTTTTCCACTAGAACAAATAATCAATTTAATACGATTTATACCTAATTTGCATACATTAAAATTTAATTTATTATGTTTTAAAAAAATTAAAACAAATATAATTGAACAAAGTCAAATATTTCAATATGTATCAAAGACAAATAAAATAAAATATTTAGATCTTGATGATGGATGTTCATTAGAAAGAATTCAATTGATTATGAAATTATTTCCAAAATTAGAATATATGAAAATTGCTATGAAGAAAAAAGAAACTAATGAAATTGTTCGATTTATATTATCAAATAATAATATTCAAACAGGTCCTTTAACGTTTTTATGTATGTCACGATTACCAAGAAGATGTTTGAAAGAAATAAATATATTAATTAAATCGGAAAACTTAGTTAATGATTATTGTATTAAATATGTTGATCGTGATTTATATTTATGGTTGTAAAAATTTAGTTGCTTAAAATGTATTTTATTTTTTTGTATATAATCGAGAACTTTTTAATAAATAGAAGAATGAACAATTA